ATAATTTTGTCGGTTTAGCTCTGTGGGATAGGTTGAGAAAAGCTTGATTTCATAAATTCTAACCATAGACTAACCAACACTGGTAGACTTCTAATCCAATTGTAAAATTTGAACCTTTTTCGTGTCTACTTCATGTGCGATGACACTGATCGCTCGTGACGACAAAATTTTGTTTCTATTATTTTAAGGTCAATTCATGATTTGTGCTTTATTGTTTGCTTATATAACTAGGGGACGAGTTATAATTTATGATTAGAATGTTTTACTTGGTTAAACGGGGTTTTTAAATTACTGAAATAACAAACACCGGACAGAACTAACAATAAAATTAGGTTCAGCTGTTCCATAAGGATGAGAAACCTACTAAGGGAGTATGTTTTTTATGGTCTAACTTAATGTAATCTGACTTTACTATTTCTAATAGCTTTTCATGGCATAAATTTAAACTGGGACATACATATTATATGGCTGGTAATTTTGATTTTTTGAAAAAAATGTATCTTTAAATTTTCATATTTTAACTTTAAATGCCGATATAAACTGCCTGAAAATTTCTTAATATAACGGAAATTAGGTTTTTTTTATAAATTATATTTATAAAATGTATTATGTAAGACATTGTAATTAGGGTTGAGTTTTAACATATAAAAAAAAAAATTAACATCCTAGAAGAAAAATGATTTGTTTTTAAAACCCTCAACTCTAACTGGGTGGGTAAAACCATAAAACCGTCACTGATGATTTGTAACCCCAACATGTAAACTATGTGACTTTAATTTTTGTATCCAAATTTGAATACTTGACGTTATATTTTGTAATTTAATGTGTTGGTCAAGTTAAAAAAGGAAAGTTTCTTTTTAACCACAGATTAGTCATAGGTCTCAAAGATAAGAAAGTGGTTGAAATGTTTATTATTCAAATCTAGGTGTTTGCTAGGTTAAAGTTAAAATCCTGGTTAGCATGAGGCTTAAATGAACCAAAATAAAGACTTAATCAGTCCAAAACAGCCTAGGAAGCTAATGTGGTCATGTCTTGCAGATGTGGAGTCTTTTATGTGGAGTGGGAGCAGTGCAGCTGACTTCTGTGTAGGTCAGCCTATCTAACTAAACCTTTTGATTTTGATTTGACAACATCATGAAGGATGAAGGACTCTTCTTATTTAGTATTTGCCGAATTCCTTGGTAAAAAAAAGTATTTTGTTTTTAAACGCTGTCAGTTTCTTTTTAGGTGTTCAAATATCTAGTCCATACAACAAAATACGTAGGCCTAATACATAGTGTTTGTGAACTCTCTCGAAAATGTTTGCAGGATTGTTATTTGGGTTAATACAAGAATTTTTTCATTCTTAACATGGGTTGCCGGAGCCTCATTTTCCGGCTGTCCGTCTGTATGTGTTTTTTATAAATAACCTAAGTTAATAACTCGAGTTTGAATTAAGGTACAAACTTTAAATTAGACATATTTGTGAATCATGCTGTGGTGCACAAACATGCAAAATTTCATTTTGTTGACTAGAGCCGTTTTAAAATGGCAGCCATCTAAAATCTTTTACGTACAAATTACATGAAAACCATTGGAGTTAAAAAAAAAAAAACAAAAGAATAACATAATTCACGAAATTTAATAACAAATCAAATGACACCGAGTTTTTAAAAATCGAACCCCTAACAGGTGAATTATTACAATTTTAAATATTTAACTATGATATTATGACTACGGTATAACCCGTTTTCTTTGAGAAACTCCCAAACAGAATAAGAACTAGAACCTACTTCACTGGTGTTTGGGATTTCCTCGAATCTACGTAAAACTTCCTCTTCAATGTTAACTGTACGCATACATACCTTTCTCGTACAGTATCAACAATGTGTATTTTATAATTAACAAGATACAGTTCATTACTCCAAGCAATAACATATCATAGTTAATTGACATACATGCTATTATTGACTATTTACACAGCACTAAAGTGTTTTTATGGGTAGGTCATCTTTTTTAAAACCATGTTGGATCAATCGTGGTTTTCACTATCCGTGGTCTCCCTCCCCCTATTACTCTGGCTGGTTAATGAAGTTCTACTTTATAATACAGAAGACTAATACAGTAGACTCCCTCTTATCCAGACACCTTTTAACCGGACTACACTCGGCGGAAATGACATCTCTTTAACCGGACAATTTTTATCAGCACATTGGTTTAACCGGACTAGATCGGCAGGAAGTGGGCAGTACTGAAACGTCTATTTCCGTGGGAAAGATTTGAGACCAGTGATCACGTGTCTTAATAAAATGCTCTCCTAAATTTAAGTCGAATATCACAGTAAACAGTCCATTTTAACGAGTTTTTGAGGACGTCGGTTTAACCGGAAAACCCGTCATCCGGACTGACTTCGGTCCCAAGGAGTTCGGATAAGAGGGAGTCTACTGTACTTGTGTTTTAGCAATGTCAACACTCGACCTATATTGACCAATACTGTTTTCTGAACTTCTAGGCCTACTTTGTGAAATTCCTGAAAACCTAACCTCAATAAAACAAACCTGGTTTTAACTAATATTCAAATCGGTTCCTAAATACCTAAATGTCAAATTTACAAAAAAGTGTGGAATAAATCTTTAACATATGTTTTGAAATCAAAACAAAGAAGATCTTCATTTAATCTTGAATCGTTTCTTTAATCTTGAAAACAATTTATTTCAACTTTGACATAACTAAAGAGTCTTGATTATTATTGGCAACGTTATCCCTTTATATAGTTGGTTTTATATAGTATACATTACATTGCAGAATTGACTGGCAAATGAGTAATCCAAATGTAATATTGCTTACTTGCTTAATGATAAATCACGATCAGCTGTATTGAAGTAAACAAAAATCAGCAGTAAATGACTTCTAATGCTATTCTTATGGAGAACATTTTACATTATATCTAATTTTGTGTTCAGATTTTGGGAATTTCACTATTTTTCCCGCCGTCACGGGATTGAGACCTTTAATTTGAGCCCTCTTCCGTCATTCTACGACTTCCCAGTTGCCCACAATTTTGACGCAAAGAATCGGCTTACGTAATTAATATATAGATAGATGTTCTTCATAAGGTCAACATGGGAACTTTCAAAGCCACTGGGGCAGAGCCCAAGGGACTTTTCAAAAATGTAAGGCCAGTTTGCAAATTTACGCGACACGCTCTTTCCAATGAGACGTCAAAGGATAAAATCGGTTAAGAAATGGCGGAGGAGTTCAACCGACAAACTTCGTGTTTGTGTATTAATTATATAGATATTTACATTCTTTCAAAATGTAAACATTGAAAAATTGGAAGCCCATGGGACGTAGCCCAAGGGAAATATGAAAATTAAATTATATAATATTGCATTGTCATCCATTTGTGAGCTCTGTTTCAAGTTTCAAGTCCCTAACTCATCAGGAACTTCGTTTGTAATTGATATCAAAATTTGTAAGAAAGCGAGCTAATAAAAACAAGCCTATGGGGCATAGCCAAAGGGAAGTATGAAAATTAAATGATATAATATTGCATTGTCTTCCAGGATTTGTGAGCTATGTTTCAAGTTTCAAGTCTCTAGCTCATCGAGAAGTTAGTATAAAATTGATTGCAAAATTTGTACCGGACAAGAAAGCAAGCTAATAAAAACGTTAAATAAAAGAGTGATATTGTTATTGCTTGAACAGGTACTTAGTAATTTTAGAGCTTCTCTTGGTACCCGTATTTTTGATATGCATTGGACACCTGATTTTTTAAATTCAATCATAACATTTTGTGGCACTAATATTTTGTACACACATTAGACCTACTGTCATGCCGAACGTGTTATCTCAATGGTAGCGCATTGGAATGATAAAAAGTCAATGTTTTTTTGAACCCAGTGACAAGACCTGTATTATACAGTAATTATTTACCTATTTTGCCTGAAGGTCTTGTAGTTAACACTCGATTAATACTCGATACGCATTTCGCCGCTCAGTGCGGCATCTTCATAGAGTATCTTCTTAAACACTACTGTTACTATGTACATATTTACAATATATTTTCCAATTGCTTCGACAAAACTGGTCACTAGCACTATTTTCTCACTACATTTAGGCTACTCACTGGTTTTCACATTGTCTTATGTAGTAAAAGTAAACTTGAATAAAATTTTAAGTTCTTGCCACACCGACACACGCACAAGTTTTGATGTAGGAGGGATATTACACATATTACTGTATGGTATTAGAAGCATTTTCGCCAGTGTCTTGAGCTGATAGGATATCTTCTTCCCATTCTTTATCCTGCCATGTATCATCTTGTACAGTTGACATATACTATATACTGTCCCGCAATATCGGCCTTCTCTGAAATTCTTCAATAAGATGTTCCATGACACTAAATGGCAAATTACAATTACAGTAAAAATCTAGTGAGAAGGGATGAGACGGAACTGGAATAGCTTTGGCTGTACTGCAAATGATCACCTCTGTGTCTCAGCAAGGCGTAGTGGCGGACACTACCACACTTGCGGTTGCCCAGATTCCCTGTGTGACCGATTTTTACTTGTTAGCACAGTGAGCGATTTTTTTAAACTTTGCGTCTGGAAGTGAGCTCAGTGAGACAAGGCCTTTATGATCACCACACGGACAAGTAGTCTAGGGCGATAGGTTGACGTCTAGTCATAAAGTTACGGTACACGACAAGATAGCAGAATTGTTTTCTGTTTATTTTAGTCACTCACGACTTACTCATCCGTTCTACTCTTAGTAGCAGCCAATAAACAACGAATGTTTTAAAAACCAACTAGACATTGCAAATTCGATCTGAGAATATCGAGAAACCGTAGGATACTGCAGAAATGTTAAGAGTAGGCTTAATGGCCTAATGTCTAATTCTCCAACAGTTTTTTTAATTTGTATATAAATTCGGAATCAATATCTGGGTGAACTAGGATTTAATTATAGAAAACTGTAAAAATCAAATGAGAGGAAAATTTATGCTATTATTTACATACCGTATGATGGTGGTAAGATATTATCTTGAACCATAGTTGCTGCTCTAGATAGTACGTCCAGAGGTGATTCAGAACTTTCCATATTTTCCCTGTAACAAAATAAAATTTGATGAACGTTTTGCTAACATGTAAAATAGGAGTTGGATGTTCAAAAAAAGGTTGATGGAAAATACCCAGAGAGGAGAGCTGTTGCCAAAATGTTTTGCAAATCCTAAACAGATACCTGAAGAACAGCAATGGATAGTCTGATCTTCACTTTGTTTGGCCATTGTGATACCGATTAATTGTTAATAATGTTGTTGTAAACCTTTCAGGATACCGGTACGTTATAAGTTTACTTAAAACTAGGTGGCACTTGTAGACACGTCCACAAAATTGAGTGGAGCCATCAGGGCATTATAATGCCATTGACCCTTAACATAAAGCATCAAAATGGTTTTAATCTACAGATTCAAATAGACAAAAGATTGTGTAGAGAAAACTTTTATTGATTGGTCAATTAATTTCAACGAATGTGAAGATTTCAAACTAAAATTCAATAATTGTTATAACAGTGATACCAAACGGTTAAATCTTCCATTAGTTTCTTTTTCAGACATGGACATCCTGGGTCAAAAAGCAGTCAATATCGTTCGGACAAGCTCACTGCAACACACGTCAACCCAGCACTCAGTTCTCTTGGTGCAATATCAACAACTGCTTAGTTCAGGGTCATGCCTTGAAATTTGTGAAAGGCAGGTGTCAATAAAAATGGTTTTCGGGTACTGCCACATTTTACAAATTTAGTTAGAATAGGGACAATTAGTAACACATTATTGTATAATGTAGTAAGTTCTCTATAATTACTAAATTCAACTAATACACATAAAAGCATCTTCAAATGTGATAAGACTTCTTCACGTTCGTCTATAATATTGACGACAGTGCCAACAGCACTTAATACTGCATCAGTCCAAAGGTTGTAGCGTTACATGGTTCTATATCCTTTGGCTAATCTGAGGATATTTTAAAAATATTGGCATTCATCGGAGCTCAATATTGCAACTATTAAAGGTTTGTTCATAAGACGAATGAATGCTACAGTACTATGCAGCTTGGCCAATTCATTAAGGGTGTCAGTAGCCACGAAAGCACCTCTTCTTTTCTTGCCATGATACGAACAGCATTGCATATTTCTACAATTCCTTTGGTACCTATTATTTATATGAATCGTAAAGAAAGTAATATAATCTTCCTCTTTTATTGTTCCATTAGCAATATTAGTTAGAGCAATACGAAAATGACTGATCTTTGCTGGATTGACGCATGATAGTTTTTAGTTGAAAATTGTTTTTAATGTGTTTGTATGCAAAAGATCCATGTGTATACCACTTTAATAGCATGAATAAAGCTCGATCCTGCACCGATAGTAGCTGAGCCATATCACCTCACACTCACAGGCATACAGTAAGATCACCAAACACTTAGGCCTAATGTTGGTTGTCAGGTTTCGCTTGACGTAGGGTAAGCGTTCCTCAATCAGTCTGCCCACATATAGCTATTTTATCGCAAACTACAACACGGATGTTTTCGAACAAAATCTGATGATTAAGTTAATTCCCCCCTTGTAGTTAGTTACAATTTCGTATATTAAACCTAGTTGTTGAGTAAAACGTTTGGCCATTAATATTATAGTCACCATAGGTTGATTCCGTTGCATTTAGGCTACTATCTAATATATAACGACTGACTTTTTTACCTACAACCATAACAATGTTTAGTTTGCAAGATAAAACAATGGACACTTATATAAATACACCTAGTCAACTGAAACCAAGAATTACTCACACAGCACGATATTGGAACAGAAACGGTATTCATATTTTCATATTCATCATAAACAAAATACGTCACTAGCCCAAAAACAAACATGGTTGTGTTCTTACTTTAAATTTAAACTGCAAAAAAACTTTCAAACCATATGTTATTATTGGTTGGAGCTAGTGACATCATTTGTTTATGTTTATGATCCATACAGTTTCTGTTATAATATCCGTGATAACAGTTATAATCAAGGCGTATCAATCATTCCTTTAAGTCAACAGCTGATCTTATGCCATTGTTTTTGTGTCAAATACTGCTTCCATAAGGATTAATTTGAAATTTTGAGAGCCTGTGGGGTGGATTCCTTAAAGAATTTTTTAACGCTTGTAAATGTTAGCACTCACAGATAAGGCCTTTATCGCCATGCAACAGTTGAAAATGATTGCTTCAGCCGTCTAGGAGGAGTTTGCGTACCTATTACTAAATACATAAGAGTCAACGTACAAGAGCTTCGCTCGCTCCGATCAATTAAAGGAACACTCAAAATAGTTTTCAGATTGCACAATCTGTGTGAAGAACTCACAGAAACATTCACAAAGCATGTGAGTGCGTCAAGAGAACTGCGACCTATAAAATATATGGTTGTGTTGTGAGGGCCGTGCTGCAAGCATCTAGGTGATTACACCAACAACAGCACCAATTTCTACCCCTTTCTATTTTCTGTTTCAGGCTTACCCAGAGTGGCATGTCGACCTTAACATGGGGGTTCGTCAGTGGTTTATCTGTTGTACAGTATGGAAAAGTACCTGTTGGATCCTTGTAGCAAGCAGCCTTTCTCCGGCTCTACCTAATTTAAATTCTTTTCTCCTATCCGAAAAAATTTAAATCTAGTAGCCTAGGGCTTGGAACCTAGCGAGGCCAGGAAGAAGAGAAGTGGGAAATGCTCCAGACAATTCACAACAATAACCTAAACGCAAGACACTCCCATGAAAATAAGGACTCCACAGACAGTCTACCAGTGAGTGTAGTTGTCAGTGTGTAGTTGTTTTGGGGATTTTGATGAGAAGGTAACTTATCATGTACTAAGTTCAGAAAACGTTATAAGAAAAAACCTTAAGGTAAAATATTTAGTAGGCTAGATGTTTGAGGTTTACAAAGTCAGATTATATTGGGCTAGGTCTAATCGTTGTTTTGGCAGTTGTTGAAAAAAGAAGTGTAGCCTAAATCTTCTAAACTTTGGTTCCAAGGTTACCCACGGGACTAAATTAATCTGGTTCACAATAATTAGACAATACCTATAAACTGAAGGTGAACATATTTAATGTAAAAGAAAATAACAAAGGAACTAAGGCTTCCACGGTCACTAACACTAGGCCTACAAACATGGCTCCAGGGTCCGACCACATCACAGATAAAAACCTTTAGGTAATTGAATGGTGACGTTTTGTCAGTTTTAGCCTTGTAGCAGACAGCCATCATTCAGCAGCTAACCGGAACAGGTCTGGTAATACAGTAGAACCCGGGTTAACCGAAACAGTTCCATTAAATAAAACAGGACTAAAATATAAGTAATACGTAATGTAAAAGTGATTTAGTAAAATGCTTTAGCAGAATATGGTTTACTTTACCTTGCCTAAAATGATCCTGTTTAATCGTCAAACACGACAGCTGTTTCGTGCTACAATGAGCACATCTTCAAAGTGAAGAAACACAAAATCAACACATTTTGCCCGCGGTTGAGCACGTCAAAAACACATTAAGTTCACACAAACACAACATATTAAAACACTTGGCCAAGTACCGCGAACAAAATGCTTTAGTAACTTCGGTTCTTTAGTTTAGAGTATTTTCTAACCCATTGCAACATTTCTGTAGCTGAAATAAAATATGTAATAGCCTATACATGATAGGGTTGCCATATCCCCAGATTTCCCTGGAGATTACCGGATTTTGACGTTCAAAATTTAGCTCCCGGGGGATTTCTGCAAAAAGTGAGAAATCTCCTCTTTTTTACTCTCTATTAAAATAGGTAGGCTACAGTACATTATAAAACGGCACTTTTGGAATAAAATAAATGTTTGTGTTTTTCTAATATTGTTAAGCCTATGCAATAACTGAGAAATGGCAGTTATGTAAATGGCATATCAGCCTAGGCCTACATGAAAACAAAATTAAAAGTTTAATGAAAATTTTGTTTAAAACTAAATTAAAAGCTTAATCCACAACTAATTTAAACATCTACAACTAGTAATTGACTTTTTATCTTAAATAGAGATCTGGATTTTTGGTGAACTATTCAGCCCGCAGGTATATAGGACTATATCGGGATAAGACCACTTCAAATAATGTTTAACCATTTAACCCTAGATTGGTAACCCGACGTCTCAGAGACTATGCTATAGGCTACACATTTTAGAATTTGGCGCTAAAACCAGTTGTTTGTTTTTCCTCTCCGCCAACACCAGCTCAGTTCCCATCACACACACATGAGTGGTGGGAATTCACTACCCCCGCAGTAGTTCATGTACAGTAGTGGCGAGTAGTCAGATTGACGAAGCGTTACCGTTACTGTGATTTTTATGTTTGCATTTTTTTAAGTTGATTTTATGTTTAAGTTTGTGTATATTATGGAATGATTAACATAATGTTGGTAAACTCATATGTTACATATGTGCACGGACAACTTAGTTTCTAAGGGAGAAAAGCCCCCTCAAGAAGGCAGTTTGCCAAAATTATACACTGCCAACTACCTACTCAGATCATGGATGGAATGTTTGCAAATACAAACAAATACAACGTTTACAAATGCAAAAACTGGCCTCTCAAATAAAAACAAATGCCAATTTTCTCAAAGCTTAAATATTCCTGCTACCCCAGATATTACAAATCAACAAAGAGGACAAAAAATAAGCAGCTTCTTCCCTTTGAAGAAACACAGGATGACATCACACTTCTGCAGCCGCTGCTCCAGGGCGATGTGTGGAGAAAACCAAGGCCAATGGTGCAAAGAATGTGTAAACTGACTTTAATTCCTCAAAAGTTCATTTTCAACATTGTTTAACTGTGAGTAGGCCTAATATCAGTGTTTTTTTTTGTATACAAAAATGAATTTTATTAAGTTACTATTTATTTTAGAAAGTAGTCTCCTTGACAAATTGTTACCGTTTAGGTTTTTTTATAGCGTTACCTACCAGTCGAGGGTTAAGTTAGCCTAGGCCTGTCCTGTTTGTCTAAAAGTGCTAAATTTTTCAATTTTCTAAGAAGGGTTCAAACCAAATTTATTAAACCAATTAAGATCAGATTTAAACCAATTTTAAACAATCTGACTTATGGAGCTTGTTGAATTACACCTGAGTTGTTAACATGTTAAGAGATCTTCAAGAGTTAGGATCTGTACTTTTATAAAATAATACAATATCTCACCAGAAGTTAGTGGCATTAAAAAATCAATGACAAAAAGGGAACCTGGGAATAAGAGTTTTCATAATATAATAACTAATTTAAGTAAGTACTTACTAATATAAGAGAAAATCTGCTTCAGGAAATTCCAAAAAGTACACTATTATTGTAATGACTGATCCAAATTGCGATAAATTCCTAAGGGGTATTCAACAGAAACTTTTTGACATTTTGCCCAACCTCGGCATGTTGGAATGTGAGGAATGAAAAGAATGGAACCAGCGTAAAGAGAGCCATCTGGATCAAGGAATGTGAAACCCGTCTGCTAACAGTCAATAGAAAAAGCGTTGTTAAGTTACCAAACCCGCCACCGAAGAAAGAATAAGCAGCACCTTCCGACCGACAGAAGCATTCAATAAAGTTTTTTGTAGGAATTTCCAAGCCATTTAGATTTTTCGCAGTGTTTCATCCACCAGAGCAGTACTATACAAAATATATTATACTTTTCATCATTTTCAAAACAAATATATAATTTATGAACATCTTATTGACATGTGTCACGGCCACCTTTAACTCCAGGCCACAGCCTTGCAAGGCAGTCTGGTAGAATTGATAACGCAGCAAGTAGGGTTGTTTAGTGTCAGACGTCGAGACGTCCCATAAGATAACATGGCAGATAGGAGACAACAGCTCATAAATTCACACTTTATTGATTTAAATTTACGAACATAAATTTATTAAAATATTGAAAATAAAACTTAAGAATAGAAAACCAACCTTTTTAGCAATAGCTTTAGGAGTAAGGACGCATCAATTGAAAATCTATATCTGTACATTTAAAGCGGAGTCAATTTTTCATATTCCAGTAACCAAGCTTTCGTAGAAACACAAATACCATTAGATGCTTCCAAACAAAACAGCTGTTACAACCCTACTTGTGACTTGTGACGTTGCCACTTCGAAGGCCGCGGCCAGAAGGTGGCCGTGCATGTCTAAATAAATGAGTTATTGTGTACATAATCGTTTCAAAATCAATTACAATGAGTCATAATGATGAATAAATATTTTAAAAGGTTCAGTTTACGAGCTGATAGGCTAGATTCCAGTAATCCGTCCCGTAATAATTGTGAAAAGATGGTGTTTTGTAAAGGAATCGAAATAACGTAGCTTTGAGACCTAAAAACTCCATAAATTTGTTGCTTCCTATGCGTGAGGATGTCTATAGCTTGGAATGTGGTGTCTTTTTAGAAGGGAAATTGTTAAAAAATGTTCAGCAGTGATTAATTTATAGAAATCTCCTTTTTAGCAATAGCTTTAGGAGTAAGGACGCGTCAATCCCTTCAAACTTTATACACATAATATTTTACATAACATATATATAAATAAATAAATATATAACATGTAGGATTGTTCAAAAAGTACAGTTGCTGCATGCTATTTCAAAATGCCGTAACTATCAATATCATGATTTTCGTCATTTCGTCGTCTGTGTCGTTTCGTTCCCATCATTCCATCTATCTACTACTAGTGAAAACTTACTATCGATAGTCACACTATCGATAGTTCTCGATAGTTTTTTAAAAACTATCGATACTATCGATAGTACTATCGATAGTCACTCAAATGGAATTTTAATGCATATAATATTGTATATATCCTGCCTGCATGAGTTTAAACAATGGTTTCTACCTAGTCGAAGATAAAGCTGTATCAGAGTATTAATTTTAACAATTTATGAGTGACGCCCTGGAGCCCCCTTTATGTTTTTTTACAAAATATTACAACATTTGTATAAAATAACAATAAGTTTTTTTAAGGGTTACAACAATAAAAAAAAGAAAATTCTCTTACTATTTTCTTTTTATTATTCACTACAAAAATATTTTTTTACTCACATAGCATAAATAATATATATATATATATATATATATATATTATGACAATCTAAAACCATAGATCAAAGGAAAATACCGTATACTGGTGTCTACTTTGTATGCTAAAACCCACGAGGCAAATAAATGTACCCATAAGTCCGGTAGTGAATTAGCAAATGCCCCCGCTTTCAAATGTTTGAGAAGGTAGCCTACTTGTCTACCAAGCTTTTCTACAATGAATTAAAAAAAAAATAGTCTATAATATTAACTATAGGTATGCATTAACAGACAAACAATGAAATGTAAGAGTACCAGATAATGATTTCTTTACTTAATTTAACGTAAAAAAAACTATCGATAGTCTCATCGATAGTATAATACTATCGACCCACTATCGATATTTTCAAACTATCGATACTATCGATAGTAAGTTTTCACTATCTACTACTACTGCTACTGCTACTCGTGCGTGTGTCGCTTGATTCTTGATTCGTGTTTAAACATTGTTTTGTTTGAGGTTAATTTTGAAGTACATTCAAAGACTCGTCAACGAATTATCTATTACTTTATTAGTTATTACGAGATTTTAGCGGTTTTAAAAACATGAACCCTGACAGCAACAGCGAATCTAAGCAAACATTCAAGCGGAAAAAACAGCGCTCCTTCATTACAAAAGTCAAGAAGAGATTTAAATCCGGAAATTTTTGCAAAGGAGTGAGAGTAGATTCTGTAGAACATGATTACTTTGTAAGAATCTTTGAATTAGATAGAAACTTCAATGGATCAACTGAAGAAAAAAGTAAGTAGACCAACTTATTGTTATTACAGTGTTTTGGAGTACAGTTTCTAGTTCTTCTAATGTACTGGGTTATTCTAATATCGATTGATACTATCGAATCGATTCTGTAAACCTTCATGCGATTTTTTCACCATCAGCAAGTTTGGTTGGTTAGGTTAGGTTATGATAGTTTAATTTTATAATAGGAACAATAAGTGAAGTCACACGGATCTTCTTTGGTTGGAACTGAAACAATGAATGATCATAGGCTATGTAAGGAAGGCAGGGGCTGCTCTTAAGTTTACGTCCTACACTCATTCAAATGGAAAATATCGATATATATACTATTCAATATATCGATTATTTCATTCGGTTAGTTAGGTTAGGTTTTAACCTAACGAACCACACTTGACATATCAAATGAAATATTCATTCGAATGACTGTAGGACGTAAACTAAAGAGCAGCCAAGGCAGGTCTGGGTTTAACTTGCGGGTTCGTGACTGCATTAAAAGTGTTTTGAAGTTAGGTTGGATTAAGAAGGTAAAGTGTAGGCTATAGGCGATCAGGTTGTTTATTGATGTTACACCTATGTTGTTTCAATCAAATTTGTTGCTATCTATCCGTAATCACGGTCAAAGATAAAGAAGACAAGTATCAAGTAAGTATCAAGTTTTTAATGTTTTGGAATAACTTAAGTTACCGTTGTTGATTAAATGACGAGACAATTTCAAAAATGCTTAAAGCTTCTGAGCCCTGGATTTCATTGATTTACTTATAGTTATTTTTTATCATATTTTCCAAGGTCTAAATTCAAATTTTTTTGGGAAAATTTTTGGCAAAGCAAAATGCCTAAGTTAATCTATCTTCCACCTGAGCCTGAACTGTTCATTTTAGTCCCTCTCACCAATATCTACTACTGATTGCTCATATACTGTAGGTACTATTTTCTATAAAACTACACTAATCATTTTGAAGTTTATTTAAATGTGTCCGTATGAATTTAAATTTGATTCACTTTTTACTTAGGCCTTATTGATTTGGTTACTTAGGCCTACTTGTCTCCATCTTAGAAATTTAATGAATTATAAAAAAATGGTGTTTACGGTTGAGAATGAATGAATAAATAGCCTAAATAAATAAACTAGCCTAATTAATTAAATGAAATTAAATGCTTTAAGTTATTTTCCATTAGCCATGAAATGCAATAGGCATCGTCAAAACAAATAACAATATACAATTATCATAGAAATTAAAACTAAAATGCAAAAATCACACAGCAAACAAAATCAAAAGCAAACCATGCACAAAACTACTGTCAAAACAAAACAATCTGTTACTTACATTGGAAAAGCTCTCTCACAGTCTCCTTTGGTCAGTAATTAATCTCCTACTGACTAATAATCCATTTTTGCAGAGGTTTTTGCCAACAATGCGCTGGCTCAAACAGAAGGAAAAGAAGTTAACTACTCATCAAATCAACTCATCTCCAGGGTTATTGAAAATCTTCTTCCCCTTGCTTCTGATTCTGCTCTGGAACGGTTTTTTGATGCTTTTGCCTCCAACTTGCGACCAATCTGTGTTCATGAATTCGCCAGTCATGTGTTGCAAACAGTGATGATTGTAGCTGCCCAACACTCTCAGGTAAGGCTTAAATTTGCAGATTTGACAAGTGTGAAATGTAATCACGTGTTTAATTAAAGAAATAAAATTCAAAAGTTAATTTTAGGATACTTGTTTTCAGTTTTTTCTTGGGTATAAGAATTGTACATTGTTACATTGTACAATAAATTTACATACCTAAACATGTACGTAAGCTTGTGCAAATATTATAGTATGTATTCCAAAATTTATCAAAATCTCAAATGTTTGACTGATAATCAACTTAAAGATGTAAATTTACTGTCTAATAAAGTTTTCCAATTCTAAAATTCTGCATTGTAAACTAGAAATAAAGCAAATAATGAGATGCACAATATACTTCATAATTTTAAACACTAGTTTCATCAGAAAAAACCGAAGTTAATATATAATTTATATAATTTTTCTATTACAAAAGTATGTGTCTGTGATGTTTTTAGAACTTATCAAAGCATAATTAACAATATCTCCCCCCCCCCCTGCAGCAAACCTGCCGCAGACTTAGCGAATTTCCATTTGCCTGATTGGATCTACACTATACCATCCGCAAAGATTCGTGGCGGCTGAGGGATTAGGACGGTCGGGTGGTGTCCCAGCCCCTAAATTAGCCCTCGCTCGACTGCTCTGGGTTTTGACCATGAGCACAGAAAATATACTACTATAACCCAGAATGCCAACCGCATGGTAAAAAGTGTTAAGTACTTTGAGAGAGCTTTGCCTGTAAATTTGTAGGCAGTGCCACCAGCGTTGCTATGCTGAGTGCATAGCAACGCTGGTGGCGCTGCCTACAAATTGACAGGCAAAGCTCTCTCAAAGTACTTAACGCTTTTTACAATGCGGTTGACATTCTGGGTTATAGTAGTATGTTTTCTGTGCCATGAGTCACCCAATAGGCTCAATGTATAGTTGGATGAATTTTTGTATATCACCATAAAGTGTATTAAATAACGCCAGTTTTGTAACCTGCGTCAAATAACATGCACATTGAGCCCAAACTCGAAATAATTGCGACGCGACGATATTAAGTATAGGCTACATTTGGTTTTAAAATAATAGACAGTTTTCGTTTCGTGGTATGTTTAAATCATCACAATTACTTCGTGTTTGGGCTCAATTTTCTTGTTATTTGATGCAGGTTACAAAAATTACGTTATTTAATACACATTATGGTGATATACAAACATTTTACCAACTATGCATTGAGCCCAGTGGGTGACTCATTGTCGAACCCCAGAGCAGTCGAGTGAGGGCTAATTTAGGGGCTGGGACACCACCCGACCGTCCTAATCCTTCAGCCGCCACAAATCTTTGCGGAAGGTATAAAATGTCTCCTAAAATATCACATTTATTCCCTATTTAAATAAAATTAGTGTAACGAGTACTTAGGTTTGCTGCAAAAGGGAGGGTAAAAAAGGGTTTTTGTTGTAAAATGTTAATACTAGTGGGGATGGGTAGCGGGAAAATATTTCAGTTCTGGCGGGAGCATGTAACTTGGGGTAGTAAAATAATATAAGCCTACTCAAATACCTCAAATAAATAAAAATGTTTCAGTGTTTTGTGTTCTTAACTCCCTCCAGAGATCTGCAGCAACCTATTCATTTTCCTTGCGATCACAGGTTGTGATACCGTCTCTGCATTTTTTTGCCAGTTCAGTATATTGAAACATAATAAACAAAACCAGGTTTATTGAACTCACAATTCAGACTGAACTTAAAAGTAAACAAAAACATAATAATATATACAGTAAAAGGGTACTTTGTTAAATATGTTTTTGATTTTTAGCGAATTTCCCTATAGGGAAGTAGCTATTACTGTAGGTGGCACGGTAAGACCTAGACCCGGGACCGATTTACTTTTTCATTTTGATGTACCAAGAGGCCAAAAACACCATTCGTTAAAATTTTTATATATGTATATATACGTCCGTGAACGCGATAACTTGAGTAATTTTTGTCCGATTTTTATGAAATTTGGTTTAAAGGTGTAAAGCGGGATAAACTTGAATGAGTTCGCGAACCAGCACGATCGGACCATGGGAACGGGGCTTTACAGGGGGTTTTATGGGGTAAAAATTGGCTTTTCTCACTTTTGACCCTCAAAACACAAAATTTCCCGATTTCTCTTTAGACCTTTTTAAAGAGCTTAAAAAAACAAATAATTAAGTATATAAAAGTATTTTTGTTCGATTATTAGTAATGGAGAAAATTAAAAAAATTGTAAATTTAAAATTCCCATGTTATTCTTATGGAGAATATTGTCAAATGTTGTAGTTTGCTTGTTTATGGATATATTTTGATCAAACTTGGCAAATTAATTTATTTTGTACTAAGCTATCAATATTTTACTCAAAAACACACTTTATTAGTTTCCTTGTATCAGCAAACCTAGGTACTCGTTAAACCTAATGTTATTAAAATATACGAGCTGGTGGCCCGTCCTACGTACGGGAATCGAGTTGTCAACTAAAACGGAATGATTCGGGACATCTAGTTTACACGCATAGACACAAATACTGGCAGGTTTTAATGGAGAAGATCACCTTATAAACAAATGTAACGTGACCACCTATTTATTCCATTTGAATATAGACCTAAAATATGGCGATATGCATTTTAAATCCGATAACTTTACCATAAAAAAAGTATTTGTGCCGATTTGAAAAATCTTGAAGTGAGATTGGCGACCGATTCACACTGGTTTTGAGTAGAGTAGCTACATGTCACCTCTAATTGCATACTGTACTACGTATATGTACTTACCGTACCTTATCTTACATCCGTGACCACTGAAACCTTTATGAGGATTCTATTCTATCACCTGCCTCTTCAAAATTTAGAGCCCAGTTTAAGGATGCACTTCATAACTTGATATTTCCCGTATATCGTGTGGTACTCCTTGGAATATACTTCTTTTAAGTTTATGCAGAGCCTTTCCATCCAAGCTTTACCTACTTCTGGAAAGCATCCCTATACTTGGGTGTTAACAAATTTCTCTTAGCATTTCTCTTAGCTCTCTGTTATTTTTTATTTCGACCTCCGGGCTGTTATCTTGAACTGGTCTGTATATTTTCTCTGCACTTTATTATCTAACCCAGCATTAAGGCTTTTCGGTTCTTTGGTCAGTGCCCAAGTTTCTAAATCATCAGTACTACGGGGATAGTTGGTATGGTATGAGTCGACTTTGGTTTCTGTTGCAGTTTATTTGACAGTTTTATAAAGACCTACTACACCGATTGACGCTTTCATTACTAACCAAAATTTTAGTATGCCGACATACTCACATTCAAACATACAGAAAAAGAAATATCAACACGCAAACCACTTATATCTTAAACAATTAAGCGATAAACTGCTGAAAAAAAAAAATACTTCCCAAATATGAGTTGATATTTACAATACATAAACTAAATACTTACACAGATTGCATTTACGACAAAACTTGATTAAACGCAAGTGTTTGAGATGTTTTGTTCAAAATAACACATTTCCTGATAACATATCCTTCACGGTAGGGGAAAACTACCTACATTTTAAAGTGAAATAATATCAAACATCGACGAACAATATTTTGTAAACAAACAACTCTTAACATAAACATTTCAATGACAGTTATAAACCAGCTGTTAGTTAAACCAGCATTGAAAATACTTTAAATTGCTAGCGTCGGCTGCTAGACTTTTTAAAAATTAAAAGTTAATTTCTGAAAAACTGAAACCCTAAACTAAAATTATGGCTTCGACATTCCCTAGTTCTCAAAATTATCTTTCTTTCAACACAAAAATCATGAAAATCCGTCGAGTGGTTGATTCATAATCGTGAAATAAAAAAACACAGTTTCGTTTTAATATTATAGATTTAACTGAAAATCAATTCAGACAAATGGAAATTCGCTTAGTCGGCAGGTTTGCTGCAGCGGGGGTATTATTATATTAGTAGCCCTAAAAATGCAAGAAAATAACAGTCATCTGAATATCAGGTGTAACTTTTGCATAAAAATAATAGTTGTGCTTTGTTACAATGTTTCAGGAAGTCTCTGATGATGACTCTAAACACCAAACCAAGTGTCAAATATGGTTGGATAAAGTAGCCAGGTTTTTGCTGAACAACATAGAAGAATTTATGTCGGACAGTTTTGCAAACCCATGTCTCCGGACTGCCATGTTTTGTTTGGCCGGGGTTCCACAATTGGATAAACATTTCAAGAAAGAAGAAGAATCCAGCATAGAATCCAAAATAACGTCGGCTAAAGTATCGGACGAGTTTTTAGAGCTGTTGGCGGAATTTTACACTCGTATTTCTAAATGGCCTCAATTTAAAAGCAAAGGTAACTCCTTTGGATTGATTACATTATCAATTTAGCAGTGGTTTATTTTTAATTTACTGTAATGATCTTGCCAAGATCAATTTTTGACACAGTAGGCCTATAAAAGATTCCACACTATGGCTAAGAATTGAAAAAAAGAACTGGTTAAGCTAAATGTTCTAAATAATATAGATCACATTTCCTATTGATCTGAAAACTGTAACGATAGCCGATGTGTAGAAAAGAAACTTTTAAAAGTGTAGAAAAGTGTTTTTTAAAAAGAAGTAAATTTTTTTGCCACTCCAGTACAAAATGGCAGCCTATTTGGACAACATTGTGATGCCAACAATAAAGTGTACTTTTATGCCATTTAGAGGTGTGCAGGGTTTGGTTTTTCTGGTGTACACAATTAAAAAGTTAATAAGGGTTGTCCATACTTTTGCCCCACCCTATTTATAAGTGGAAATCCAATTGTCTGCAGGTTTGCTGCGGTGGAAGTATTTTCTCAAACTGCGCATCGAGCCCTAACGATTTTCCTTTTTCAGATTTTTTGGAAAACCACCTATCGTCCGGCTACATACAAGCGCTTCTCCAAGTTTTAAAAGCCGCAGGACAGAAACATTTGTACAAACAGTTGTTCACTCAGATCTTGAATGATTGCTTCCCCAACGGAATGTCAGCAATGTCGCCTAGTATGTTGGCAGTTCTAGAAGTTATGATTGGCCACAGCAAGCCCAAACCTCTACGAACACTATACAAGAAGGTTCTCCAGCCGCGGCTCGTAGAAATGTCATCAGCCCAGATCGGCAACATTGCTATTCAGAAGTTTATCAGTAGTTGTTCTGATTCAGAACTGGTAAATATTGTTTTCTTAAAATTAGCTTTGGTTCTTTTTTACTCATAATATGCTGGTATTGGTGCATTAGCTAGAGATGAGATAATATTAGCTCTATTAATTGAGATATGGTTGTCCTTTGAAATAAACGTAGAATGTATTTAATAAAACACTAATCGCTGTGCCAGGAATAGGAGTTTTAAGATACTATTTTTTTAAAGCTTGAAAATCATTCTCAGACTAAAATGTACTCATTATGGCTTCTTGAGTTATGGTCAAAATCAACAGTCTTACATTTTAGATAGTATTTTAATGAAATATTTAGAGGTCCTTTTAGTTTACTGACGAAGATGAGTGAGTGATTAGTGTTGAATGTACGAGTTGAGATGACAGCTTTGTTACTGACTGAGATCTAGGATCGTTTACTTTAGCCGAATGGTTATGGACAGTTGGGTCCAGTTTTTAACCATTAAAAACAGATTTTGACTTTTCAATTGAATGCTAACCTTCAGATTGCTATGTGGATGCCAAATGGCAAAAATTTTTAATTTTAAGTTTTGGAGCTCAGTTAGTTTACCTGAGAAGAGTCCAGTATTAACTATCTATACATATCTATCTATACACATCTATCAGTATTACTATATGTGATGGGTTGTATATAACAGATTTGTCCCAATATGACTTTAGGCTGGATTGGTAATTTTATCATGCATTGAAGGCCTTAAATGTGTTGATTTTTATTTGATTGTAAATAATAGTCGTAAACAATTGTTATTTTTAGTTTACCGAAGTGATGGACCAGTTGAGACCACATTTTTCTTCAGTCAATAAAAATGTCCTCGTCAGTTTGGCTGTGGGCTGCAGAAGACTACAAACAGGTCAATCATACTTTGTACAGGTCAGTGTTACAGTTAAACTGAGTTTCCATCTCTTAATTTAAATTTAAAAGCAGTAATAATTTTTGGATCAACAACATGGCAAAGAAAATGTTTTAATAGCCTAAGGTAATTAATCACCAGTGTTAATTGCCACAAGTTTTGGTCAATATTTTTCTATTTAAGAATTGTGTATACAGAGCTGTTTGACTTTATGAACTGTTATAGTTGCTGTTATAGCTGTTGAAACTTTTGTAGTTTCTTTAATTGTAAAGAATTCCTTTCTGCTAATAATTGTAATTCCTTTTATTTTTTACTATTTCAATCAACGTGTAGCTGTGAAACAAAAATCTATCAAAATCTAATTAAGCTGTCTAAAGCCTATAAACAAATTAAGTAGACTCACATCTGACACATAGTTTAACCTAACGCTGATGTGTGATTCGTCAGCTAAAACCTGTACATGCTGGAATTTGGTTTGAATTATGACATGATGTAGGAGTCTGTGTCTTTCCAGTTGCAGTGTCCAGTCCGATTCTGCAGTCATATCTGTGAATAGTTAGATTATTAAACAAAATACTTTAACATGCTTTGTTTGATTACTCTTCAATTGAACTTAAGTAGGCCTACCTCACATTTTTTATCATTAGACCTGTGTAATATAGGTGGATCTATTTTAATTTAAAATACATAGGTTATAGGTATACTTAATGATGGTTTATGAGAAAAAGGCTGTACATGGAAATTAATAATTTAAATCAAATGGGTTTTTGCATTCAAGGAACACAACTTTTTTGAATTATTACTAGCCTAATTAATAAACTGTTTGATTTGAATGCCCAGTAGTGCAATTAAGCTTAAGAAGACAAATTTGCTAAGCTTATATGTTAGATTTAGCATTATTTTTGGTAATTGGACATTGTTTGTCTTAATAAGTTTAAATGACTTCTTGTTCAGCATTGTACGAGTTATTAAATTTACGGAATGTAAATACAAGAAATGTCTTTAAAACATATATTAACACTTATACAGTTACTTACAAGACAGTAAATATACAAAAAAGATGGTTAGTGGTGATCGATTTTGATTGGACACTCCAATCGAAATCGATCACCACTAACCATCTTTATTGTATATTAACCGTCTTGTGTAAATATATGTTTTAAGTGTTATAAGACGTTTCTTTTATTTACATTCCGTAATAAGTTTAGGATTATCAAGAGTAAGTGTATGTTGGTAAAAGAAATGTAAAAAATATACAGGCACACTTATTGCTTGTGGGATTTAATAACACTCGTTTATCAGAAATGCTATTGTTTATAGTCCCTTCTGAAGATGTTGAACTGTGATAATGCGAGTGGTGATCAGAAGCAGTTGGTGTCGGCTGTGTTGTCTCTGCAGCCTTTACCTCATGATAAGCCCACAACACCCACGAGGCCCGGGTCTCAGGTCCTGCAGGCAATGTTGCACTTCCAGAAGCCGATCAAGGTAAGAAAAGGTGCTGGCTAGATGTTATTTGTTGCAGATGACTTGTTAAATACAAAAATACTCATAACAGGCAAGAATATTAAAAATGTTTAATTCAAAATTTAAAATCGAGAATATTATTAAAAAACATCAGTACCATATAAAGAAAACTAATTAGGCATTAAAAACTAACTCTTAGGCATAGGAAACGTCGTGATATCAGTTTGGATGTATTTTAACTTTGAAAAATACAAAATTTACGAGTCTGAAACATAAAGTCTTGCTGGTTAAATATTAAATTATGATATTAGAACTTAGAAAAATACAAAATTTATCAGTTTAAAACATCAGTCTTACTAGTTAAGTATCAAGTTACAATTTTTCAGTCTTGTGCTATTTTTAGAATGATTTTGGAGTGACTTGTTTTGGCTATGTTTACAGTAGTAAAACATGTCTTACACTGCTTACACTTAACAAAACTCATAATTTGGGACATAAAAGCAAAAAGTTACAAAACATTTAGGCCTAAAGTAATATTTGTAAGGAATTAAATAAATACACCTTCGCACAGAAAACACAACAACATGCTCCCGTACATTGACTTTTTTAATGGTTTATTTTTCTTTTATAATCTCGTCTTAAAAAACATCAATCAAAATAAAATCTCATCTCGTAGAACGAGATTTAAAATTTCCCGAAGATTTCGAGACACGTACATCCCTAATTATTTTAAAGTACAGCAGTTTCACTCTCAAGTGTTCTGTCTATGAAGTGGGGAGGCAGACACTGTTAAGTTTTCAGTCGATATCATGGTTTGGACTGGTCTGGTTTGGAAAAAAGGGGTACCGGTCGTATTATTAAAACAGAAACACAGGTCAGTTGAGAGCACTGGAAAATGTTGTGTTTGCACTTGGAATAGCATCGTTGTTCAGAATAAAGAACCACCGGCAAAAATCTTGCTAAAACTACTTGCAGGTTTTGTAAAACTCTCACACAGCATAACCTCAATGTTGTTCGGTCCAAAACAAGATACCGTAACAATTGAAACGGTAAGAGTTGCTGAAGAGAACAAGACTCAACAGTGTCTTCACAACCGGAGTACTAACTGTACGAGTGAAGCTGTTCAATCTCTTATGCCACATCCTGTTCATCAACTGAGATAAGAGTACAGCTGGGTGTCCAAATATGAGTCTAGAATGAAGTGTATCTTTGTTACTATCTAAGACTTGCTGATCATTTAGCCAGAAACACATATCAAAAGCTTAATGGTCAGGAGTTACTGGGTCCACTTTCAAATCATCAAAAAGTTTCTCATGTAAAGGTTTAAGATGTCTTAACAAGGCTGTCTAAAGATGGCCTAGTTTGTAGTGTTACTGTTGGCTCTCGTTGCCATGTGGGCCTTACTTCTTTATGTAAGATTAAAGACAGTTTGAAACTAGACCTAGGTGGTTAGAAATAATATGTTGACAGAGTAAGAAATATTTATCAACCCTATATCTTTAGATTCTGAATTTTCATCTTAGGAAATACCTATAATCCTGGACAGCAGGATCATGGGATTGGATTCCCTACTTGTGGTGTTTCATCAGCTCTAGTTTCATTACCATTGTCCTGTTACAGTTTGTCAACTCTCTCCTAGCCCATGAACCAGCAGAGTTGGCAGTTGTACTGTCCTCCATCTATGGATCTTTTATCACCAAAGACTTCCTGCAGTCTGAGCTCATATCAGAAAAGAACAAACAGAAACTAATAAAGAAACTTCTGGTTTGTATATATAATATATTTTGATGGTTTTAATGTATATATTATGCATTTTAATGAATTTAATGTATATTGTCTGGTAAGAAATGTTGTTAGAAAGCCGACTGATGTGAATGGGCAAGAATTCACCCTGGTAATGATATTTCCTAATTTTTCGTTTTATCTTTTTTATGATTCTTGTGCTAGAGTGGGCTCTTTCTCATTCAAATTACATCCTAAGAAATCTTTAGAACTGAAGCCCTTGTCCTTTGGCATACTTTTTGTCTGATAAAATAGAAAAAGTGAACGGCTAAACTCGTAAAATGTGTGTTAAATCTGCAAACATACCTGCTTCAATGAAAACTGCAGATGAAAATTTACTGAAATCAGCTGTGACTTGTTGTTTGAATACCATAGTCTTTATAGTAGACTACTGACTTCTCAGGATTGAACCAGCATCCTTTCGATTTGCAAGGCAAGCACTCTTTTCCACATCGCTAATTAGTTAGTTGATTAGTTCAATACATCTTTTGAACAAGATGAACGTGTCCAGACGTGTCCATGACTTTTTTATCATAAAAAAACTCAACATTTTAGTCATAACACAATACCCATTATTCCAAAGTCAACCTGTTTAATTCCATAATTCAATACTGTAATTTGATCATGGTTTTTTTTTACTTTACCTTATCTTATGAACAACTAACACTGACAGCCGTTAGTGGAAGTTTGGTTATGTTAAGGGTCAAAATTGTGTCCACCTTCATAAATTGATAGTGTGATTTGACAATACATCAATGTAAGTAACAGCAATCGTTCCAGGGTCACTATGTGGAACTGGCACAGACCAAGTTTGGGTCTCGCAGTTTTGACGACTTGTGGAAGGCAGCTGACGACAAGAACAAAGTGGCGATTGTGAAGGACTTGGCTCCATCGCACTCTCAACTGCTAGCCTCTCACACGGGGCAGTTTGTAGCTACCAAGGTGTACCTGGCGGAGTTCAAGAACCTGGGTGTCGACGAGTGGACCAAGAGAGTCAAGAGGCAACAGTCAGCTCAGAAGCTGTTCTCGCCTTTGATTGGTAATGTTAAATAAAACTTTTTGAGGGTTTTCTGTGTGAATTTATTACCTACTCGGCTTTCTCATAATGCTATGAAAAAATAACATTTCACTGAACTTTTCGAGCTAAAATAAATTCAAAGTCTTTATCTTATTCCAATAATTGTGAACTTTTCCATCAGTTTGTACTTATTAAGATGGAAAAGTCATTGCAACAATACTACTATGTCTCCCCTTCACATCCTAGCTATGCTGTGGCCCAACCGATTTACATATTAATTAAGCTAGAATGGTTGCAGCCATGTAATAAGGGCAGCTAAGAGGAATTATTGAGGATTGACAAAATTTGAACCCGAGACCTCAGACACTGAAGCCCTTCACTGTACCTCTAGAACAACTTGCTCCCCTAGCTGTATCGATACTAGTGTAATAATGTTTCTTTTAAGTAAGCAACGCTAGTCAGTGACCAGTGTTAAAGAATATAGCCAGTGTCAATTCTAAAACACAAGTTAGCAATAACAAACACTATGCAACATAAGTTAGCAAATAATTAATATGTTATATAAATCCACTACTAAGTAACAGCAAACAGCATCAAGTTTTCTATCTATCCTTGTTGAGCATTGACTAGCAGCGTGTAGAATGAATATGCAAAGCGCATTGTCTGAAACAAGTAAATTTCTGTCTTTAAACATTTTAAACTTTTTGGAAAAGTAATAGTAATAAGCGCATTGATATTTTTATAATTGTAAAATAATATTACCTATAAAAAAGATTTACTTTTTAATTTTAAGAATTGAATCTAGCAACAGACATAATTATCCAACAGTTATTTGTCTAACAGCTCTAAAGGCTGAATACAAACTCTTTTTAGTGACAGTTTGGATTGCACCATCTTACTTTAATAGTTCACTAAAACTAAAAAACAGTAGAGTCTCGATTATCCGATCTTCAGTTATACGACCCTCCCTATGGATGAGGACTGTGAAATGGAACGATATTTCCGTGAGGTATGAGTTTACACCTTAGTAGGTATATGGAGACAACCTCTTCATCACTGTGGCTACTTAGAAGATATTCTACTACAATTTTTTGTACTTGCTGATTGTTTTCGCTGCATACCACACAGTTCATAAACTCCTCATCAGTGTGTCCACACGACCAAAACTGAAGACCAGCTTACAGAGTAAAGAAAATCACGTTTTATCCCTCCTTAATTCAATGAAAAATCCCGTTTATCCCGCATGAATTTTTCCTTTCTATCATGAGTGAGCTTTATTTGTGTTATGGTTAAATTTAAATAACTCTTTCAACTTTGCTATAATTTTTTCTTTTTTTCTAAGACCCTACGCCCGAGTTTGGGTTTTTTTTAACATTACCTAGGGGTTGTGGCATTATAAAATCCATAGGTGATTTGGGGGGATTTGAATCCAGAACCGAAGTCCTGCGCTCTAACCACTAGAACAGCTCACTCCCTAAACTTGTCTATAATACTGTGCTAGAATGCTAGAATAATTTAAGCAAATGGGGTTAGTTCTTATCTGGAAAGCAGTTTAAAAAAGAAAATCAGGTCCAGGGTTGAATCGCCTTTTATTCTTTATTCCGTTTTAATCCCGTGCATGGTCTAAAAATACTGTTTTTGGAATACAAATCCCGCATGGTAACACCGATCCTCATACCTGCATACCTCTCTACTACTCCTCATTTTGCAGACCAAGTGGAGATTTTTGGATAAATACATTATTATTATCTTAAAGCTTTAGTTGTGCAGGGTTTTTATTGTGTCTGTTTTTTATGTTATTTGTGATGACAGAAAAAGTTAGTATTTCAATGGAAGACAAGCTCATAACTTTACAGATTAGAACTTCGAACCATAGACTCATTAAATAAATGTACTCCTATTTGTCTTCCTTATGGGTCAGCTGAGGGCAATTTTAATGTCGGTTCCGTCCAGTTCATGTTGGAATGTGTTTTTGTTTACAATTTGTTTCTTGTTGTTTAGGTTATTCCCAAACTAGTTTGAATTGAATTGAAATGAGTTTAAACAAATAAAACAATTTAATTATGAACAAAAGCTTTCCATCTGGTTTTATAAATAAATAGTATTAGCACACATCATAAAATTTACCTTAAAATGAGAGAAATAAATTGTCTTGACACTACACGACAAAATGTCACCAACACAATCAACATGTAAAAACAGGCTTCAAATTTTATAATGGCGATGAGAACTAACAATTTTCTACTTGTTAGTCTATGGTAAAACCTAAAGTAGATTAATGATTATAATATGCTTGCAATGGTTTACAACTAACTTATGTGTTATATGCGCTCTTGAAGTCGGTTTAGGTCTGATACTCGAAACTCTACTGTATGTTATATTTGATCAAATAAAATTTACAATGCTCTTACCGAGGCGAATAGCTCCAAGTTAGCGTTGTATGTGTATCCTGCAGACAGTGTGAGAGGTCTACTTGAGACCAGCAGTATTGTAGGCAACAGCTTGTTCAGTCTTCCGTTTCTCAGTGGCCAACCACTGTCAAACACTCCGTGTTGTAGCAACAGACTCTGTGAAACATGACAATCACTCAAAGTGAGCTCCAAGCAGTAAATTCTGCACCCTGCGACATACACACTTACTCATGCACTTTTTGGCAGTTATACAGAGGAGAATTTTAACAATGATGTTCAACTGTAACATCAACTTTGTATTGACAATAATTAGTCGGTTTGATTCAGTTACTGTAAGTATAAAATTAAGTAAATTATACTTCAAACTAATACTACTCGTAGTTAATTTTTTTCTTGTAATTTCACAATGTCAAAGAGAACCAAAGATTCTCCTTTTGAGGATGAACAGTAATCAATAAAACTAGTTGTGCGACATGAATTTGTGTAGACCGCCGGTCATCCATATTTCAAGAATACCTTGAAAAAGAAAAGGCTGTGGATATTAGACCACTAAAAACTGATGTGTAAACCCACTCCGCAATTGAATATCGCCATTCCTGGAAAACTCCACTGCTGAAAAATGGGGAAAGGTAAAAAGTTTTATAAGGTAGATAAATACCTATCAAAAACCAAAAATACAATGGTGACGGCAGCTTTTTGGAAGCCAAAATATGTAGTTAATTAACGTTCTTAACTATTATGGTCCATATCCAGTTAATAATAATATAATTTTATTTGCTCTAACTATTTAGAAAACCGGAATGGGTTTTTTAAGATCATTTTGACTCAGAATTTCTAAACACTCTATGCCTTCTGCTTAGAATTCAGACTTAAAACCTAAATGCAGCCCTCTTTACAAGTACAACTCTGTTGATAGTCAGAAATACATAAATATACTTACCACTTTCTCTAGTTCACTTCCAAGCCAGCATACAATAAAAATCAAACTACCAGCACTAGCCAGAAATGTGAGGGACTTGATTATATCTCTGACTGACTGCTTTTCTGGTACCTACAAATATAACACAACAAAAATATAAACTTCACCAATCCTCTGGATTTAATGACTTTTTTCTGTAATGCATTTTTTGTATTGAAGTAAATAATCTTAGACCTAAAAAGGCAAAGTCTGTGGAATAAAACAATAGCTAATCCACTAATTAAAAACAGTGACATATATACAGTAAAAAATATATACAGGGTGGCTGGTCATCAGTGTTACAAAATTTTTTTGGCGTAAGTACTAAGTAAATGCAGTGTAATGATGCATATAAAAGGTTTCAAGTCCAAAAATTAGCTTCCCAAAGAATTATTTTATGTTTTTCAAAAATAACTATGTTTTCAAACTTAATACAGCTATTTCTCAATTACCTGTAAATGGATTTGAGTAGACAATGTCATTTTCGTGTTCTACATTAAATTTTGAATAAGAATAATAGAAAATGACAGAGGATCAGTTTTAAAAACTCCATTGTAAATAGATTCAAAGACAAAAATTAAGATGTTTGAAAAAAATTTAAAAAACATTGGTCTATTGTATTTGTTCACACCCTGTATACAAGAAAGTGTCCGAATATGTTAAAAACTGCGTCATTTTATAAGCCTTCCAACCATATGCTACACTATTGAGGTTTAGATATTCTGTTGTTTGTTTTAGTGGTTTGAATACCAGAAAACAGGGAACTTTTTTACTGTTTTTACTGTTTAAGCTGAAACAAAAATACAACTTTTGCTTAATACATACCGGCTTTCTATGTTTTAAATGTTAAAGACACCCTGTTTTCTGGTATTCAAACCACTAAAACAAACAACAGAATATCTAAACCTCAATAGTGTAGCATATGGTTGGAAAGCTTATAAAATGGCGCAGTTTTTAACATATTCGGACACTTTCTTGTATACAGGGTGTGAACAAATACAATAGACCAATGTTTTTTAAATTTTTTTCAAACATCTTAATTTTTATCTTTGAATCTATTTACAATGGAGTTTTTACAACTGATACTCCGTCATTTTATATTATTCTTATTCAAAATTTAATGTAGAACACGAAAATGACATTGTCTACTCAAATCCATTTACAGGTAATTGAGAAATAGCTGTATTAAGTTTGAAAACATAGTTATTTTTGAAAAACATAAAATAATTCTTTGAGAAGCTAATTTTTGGACTTGGAACCTTTTATATGCATCATTACACTGCATTTACTTTGTACTTACGCCAAAAAAATTTTGTGACACTGATGACCAGCCACCCTGTATATAGTGAAATATAGTGAGTTATACAGTGTATGGTGTTGTTAAAAAATTAATTGTATAAACTGAAGTAAAGAATAGTTTCATGCAAGAGTCAGCAGAGATACAAATCAAAGAACGCAAGAACGGTGATACAAATGAAATTAGTTCAGTGAAATGATTGTCAAATCCAACACTGATCTATGTTATGTTCCTAAATAAACATCAAATGAATAATTTTACCCTTGTTAGCTTACACAAGCTAGGACTTACACTTGTTAGCTGGAACAGAATGAGGCAGAATAAGAATAGTGCGAGTAGAATGTCAGACCCAACCAATACACTGTACACTTTATTCAG